CTTTCGTTTCAAACTCAGAGACGTTAGATGCAGTTACATTTTTGCTCAGTGTTACACTGTTAAACAGTCATTTTTTGACGGAGAGAAGCAATCTCTTGGAAAGGGGGATGATCGACTGAATCTCGAATTATGCGTTTTTTTCTCAGACAGCACACACTGCCAACTAAAACGCGGTTTTGGCGAGACATGCTCGGTGAAAGCAAGGGAGAAGTTGAGTGTCACTAGCGTACTGAACATAAGCGTCCAAAATAACAGTCTCAGCCATTTGATGGGGCGTTCTCGGACTCAGGAAATAGGAGACATTCCGTACGATCTCATACCCTCCAGACTCGTAATGTTCAGCATCGAACTTGGTACAAACATATGGGAACAAGAAATTCACATAATTTGACGGAGAATAAATAGTACTAATAGGTATAATTTCACACACTGTTTTCAACGCTCTCAAATGTGAGGTTCTGTATAAACGCATGCAAACATAACTATGCTAAAAGTCTGTCAACCGTCAGATCCTCAGGCTGAAAGTTTTCCATCGGGTTACTGATGATATTGAACTCTCCAAGGCTGTCTGTCCAAAGTCAGTAGCATCCATGGGTTACCACACGTCTGATTAATCACTGCCTCAAAACCATTTCACCGTATATGCTCGTGTACATGTTGAAGTCGTGTGGGGGGGAATTTCCAAGGATATTTGTAACACACTACTCATCAGGTTGCTGAAACTTCGTCGACAGCTCACGGCCGGTTTCATCCTTCTTGGGATTCATCAGGTAGGCACAGTCCCCGTGTTTCCGTCAACCTAACCTTGTTCGAAACCAAATTGCACGAAATTAGCGAAATACCCTCAGTTGCCAACTGATTTGGTTTCTCGAGAGACTCACCTGAGACCCAACCCAGTCTTCTGTTTGTGATGTTTTCAGGTTTGAACTAAATTCACCAGGCCACACTACCCGAGTCGTCACCTCTGAGCTGGCAAGAATGTTTGTTTGACCGGATGACCCATTCGCATGCCAGAATTATCCATTTTTTTACTTCTAAATATTTCAACAGCTGGTTTCCATTTTCACAGCTTGGACAGTCCCACTGAATGGCGCCACCGAGGGTAACGCAAGCAAAAGCAGTCATCCAGATGGTTACCAAATTTCCGAAACTAATAGTGTTCGATCTGGGTAAGCTGCGATAACATCCTGATTATAGCCATGCATTTGATCCGTAGACTATACACTATGGCCTTACTGGTGTGATACACACTTAAAACCACCTTTGCGCAGAGAGTTTGAGGACCCTGTTGTTAGCTAATAGTTCTTTCGTTTCAGAGGTGACTTCACCTATGGACGAAGTGGAATAAGACACGAAGTGTATCCGGATTCGATTTTGAGGTACAAGTCGTTTCAAAATTTGTTTCGTTAAATTGCCAAATCTATCCATGAAAACCATTCAACCAGTTCACAACCCAATGCATATCCTCTGGGATTTTGGGGGCAAACATGAATCAATACGGTCTTGAAGGAAACGTTGAAAAAGGAATCTTTAAGCGACCCCTTTTTCTGAAAACCATCAGGCAATCATCCTTTCCTGAATCTAATTATAAGGTGGATGACGATTCCTGAATAACCCATTATAAGTTTTGCCCCTGTTCGGTCTCATCAAACAGTCTAGCCCCTGAACTCTCGTTAATGCCATTTTGTTGCTGAACATCAAATTTTACGCATACTCACTTAGCTGTAACTAACAAGTCCCCACACTAAGGGAGTGACAATGGGTGATTGCTTTGTATCCATCACTCCTTTTGATTTTCTAGTGAAAACAACTAATGATACTGGGCTATCAGTATGCGCAAACCATCCCGGTTTCTGGGCTTATCGAACTTCATTCATCATCAGTAGCGACAGCATAAAATGAGGGTTCAATACTAATCCTTCGCAGATGTACAACCATGATTTACTGGAAGGCCTTAATGTGAAGAAAAGAATAAAAGTGAATGGGGAAATTATTGCTGGTCTATCACGGTACATTGATTCCATAGCGTCATGGCTACAGACCCTTACTTGGCTGCTTTCATGCGCATCTCCCATCATTGTTCATTCAAACTTATTTGTTTCAATTATATGGTCATGCGTTGTGCACGTCAAAACTTTTGCCGAGTGCATATTAGCTGCGTTTTCCATGGGACATCTGAGTCCACTCATAAAGTGTACTTGGATCCAACTGGTGGTATACAACGAAACTGCAATTATTAGGATCGCTTGACTCATGCTCTGCAGAGCGATTGCCGCTTCAATCGAATGATTCCTTGCTTCCAGTCCCATATGGACGGGTGACTGTCCACCGTGGAGACCTTGCTTCGCGTGAATCCTGCTAAGAGCTATCGATCGGTTTTGTCGATTATCAGTGACCATCCGCACTCACACCTAATTTAACATACCACCTGTCCCAGTTCTTCACTGCTATCCGTTTCACATCCCTAGAACGAGTCGATGCGCAGTGCATTTAGTGACTCAGTTGGACGAGGGCATTGTCATACCCGAGTAACAAGAGAATCAGGCTCCCGGTTTGCATCCATCTGTCATACTTCCACATCCACAGCGGGAGAGCTCTCCATGGAATAGTGTGCACGTTAAACGCAGGCAAATACTCGTTTATTTGCAAAAGAGGAATGTGCAGAGTAGTGCCAGGAAAATGAGGTAACCGTTTAGACTGTAGAAATTGGGAACTGATGCGTGCCTTCGGCGGTTTCCACACTATCAGCACATGCTTTCGACGTTATTTATAGTTTTTTTTTACGCTCTTCATGCTTTTCCAAGACATAATGATGGTGCGGAAGCTATACACCTATACTGAGCGATCTACCTGAGTAATGGGTGATATTAAGCATGGTTTCTCTTGATGCAGATCTCAGAGCATCAAGGCACTGTGCGACGCCTCCTTGGCGCACGATCTGGTTGTTAAAACCATTGGCAGGCAATTCAGCTGACAATCCTGACTGCGTTGAAGATAATGGGAGAGAGAAAATTGCACATCTCGCCTGAACTGCTCGATACCTCAAAGCACATTGCCCTGGTGCTCCAAAACGAACTCAACAAACGGTAGTTACAAGTTCTGCGCAGTTACCCACCGGGAAGTAGCTTGATTTTGACTTCCGATTTGACGAGTGTTTTCCGACAACTTACATGTGGTGGACTGTACCATAGCTATATGCCACAAAATTAATCGATGGCCAACAAATCTCTAAGGATTCCCGTTAGCTCAAGTATGGGATAGAGACCCCTACTTTCAGGCTAACTGAAAGAATTTCTGTGTTCGAAACATCGATATCAATGTTAACCTACCTCTTTAATTTCTGTCGAAATGTCCTTTTATTTTACATCCACCAATGCTATCCAGGCCTAAAACAGCTGGTGACGAGAAACACACCTTCCCTGCCCTGCCGTATTCATTTCGCCTAAAGACGAATTCGAAAACAAAGTTAGAAAAGCGGTTCCATTTCAGTGGTGATAACTCAGAACGCGTGGTAAGAAGTGCCGTCCTTCAATAGAGCGGTTAAGGCGTACAGAAATGGTCTTGCTGAAACGTGAAGATAACGAAGGCCGGAAAACTGAATGAAACGAATGAAATACTGGGACTCCGCATTCAGACAGAAACGGTATCTGTGAGACCGACCAAATCCACCTTCCTGTACAGCATTTCTTGCACAGAAATTGAGCAAACAACGAGCAATTTCTTCTGAAACGATAACTGCTGGATCGGTTGCACAGTTTTTTAAAAAAATGAGAATTTGAATGCCGTTTTTAAACAAATTTCCATGTGAGAAATTTATCCAGAGACCTGCCCCTTGTTTGACCGTTGGTGAGCTTTTTCTTTATCGTGGAGCGAGTTTCGCAAGACTTCAGAATGATCTGCTAGGCGAGGACCTTCTTTGCTGAATGGCACTGCTTTTTTAGCGGAATGCACTCATCTGCACTATTTTTTCCTGAAAATTCACAACTCCAACCCAAACTTTCTTCTGTTTTCATTATTCTGACTTTCAATCGGTCTGTAACTTTCCAACAGTTCTTCCAATGTCACTCCTGTGATTGCACATGTCATACCTCAGAGTATTATCATATGAATTTGCTAACTTCCCAACTGAGAGAATGTGAAACACCCAAACTGTCCGAAAAACTGGGTACGCGTGTGCCAATTTCCAAGTTTGCTTTCCTGCAAAAGTCTGTTTTTCTCTTTGTTTTCTCTCTCTTACATCCAGCCTTCCATGAAAAAACGTAATTGTGCGCGCAAAAATGCATTCCACGCGGCAATCATTAACGTCCATGAAAAGACGGCCCATTAAGATGAAAAATCCTATGAAAGTGGCTGGCTGGACTCAGTCACGCTATTCATCAGGAGTCAATTGGTCTGACCAAATTACCAGCGAAACGCTGGATGAAAAGATTATGAAAAAAAAAGTCCACTTTACCATTTATTTGAAAAAAAACCCATGCCACAGAAACCGTCCGTACAAAAACATCGGTTTAGCGAAGCTTGATGAAATCGGAGGCTTCTGGTGGGGCAGAGTCGTGAATACGACGTTCCAGGTTGTCCAAGGTGACATTCATCTGATGAAGAAAAAAGTACAAAAAGTGTAGGTTGCAGAATGCAAGCCGATCTGAATATAAATGCTAGCGGTTCCCGGGGGGAGGTTCACAATGAGTGGTTAACGGACCAGATTGCTCAGTCGAATACCATATTGTTTTGAACAAAACAGGCAGCTGGTCAACATTGGGACTAACGTTATAGTTTAGTTTCCGACAACATGGCGTAGGTAAAACGTTCTATGCTGCATAGAGCAAGTTCTCCCGCCTTCTCTGTCAGTAAGTTCAAGGACAGACCCTATATATATACATATATATATATATATGTATATATATGAAAAACAATATGAAAAAGAACTAAGAAGCGTCCAAGCATGCCTTTGAACTCAGCTACTCAAGATACAGATCAAGGACGACCAGTGATGATGATAGACAAAAGCCTTGATCGAACCCGATCCAGAAATAATGCGAAGGCAATGCACTTACTTTTCTGCTCTCATGGTCTTCGACTACAGTAACGCTCACAACCAAGGACATCGATAACCCTTTATTTCTTCGAAGATGGCAAGATGACTCGTGGTTAGAGCGCGAATTTAGTGACCGGAAGGTCCGTGGTTCAAACCCTAAATCTGCCCCTTTACTATCGCTCTCTAGGCTTAACCCTTTATTTCTTCGAAGATGGCAAGATGACTCGTGGTTAGAGCGCGAATTTAGTGACCGGAAGGTCCGTGGTTCAAACCCGAAATCTGCCCCTTGACTATCCCTGTCTAGGCTTGGGCAATCTGGCAGTATCCCAGTTCTTGTGCTTCTATCTGGTGGCATGGCAGTTAGGCACCGAAAGAGTATTGCAGCTAAACGATTTAAGAGCCACAAGAAAACAGAATTCGAACGTGGATTCAGCCGAACAACCCAGAACTCGTTTTTCGTCCAGCTGTAGAACCCTTTCGGGGCCTAGCTACTATGCCAACGGAATGAGGCATGGGGATCTGCCAGGTTGTCTAAGCCTAAACAGGAGCGGTCGAGATGGTGACGTCAGGTTCGAAACACAGGCCTTTCGGTCCATAAGCTGGCGCATTAACCACTGGGTCACCTCGAGCCCAACTATTGGGCTACCTCGGACCCTGCTTCTAAAATTAGATAGATACTAGGTGGCCTGCGCTCGTCAGTTCGTCGGAAAAGACCGGATTAAAGTCCAAGTGAATCGCTGAATATTTTCCAATAATGCTCCAGCACATGCTACTTCACACTCTCTTTATTATGGCAGTTACACGGGATTGTCCGATCATCAGCAAAAAAAACCTTGCACAATTTCCCCTCCCCGATATGCGACGGTGTGCCGAACACAGTGTAGAAACTGAAAGTGCTGAGGTTAGTCCGACTGCGACGGTGTGCCGAACACAGCATAGAAACTGAAAGTGCTGAGGTTAGTCCGACACAGCTTTTTCTTTCGGCAGACACTGACATTCCGTATTCCCACCGCGTATTCCGCAACATGTGATTGTCCTGGTGACGAAATGGATGCAACTATCCCTTGAGAGAACTTCTCACCTACCTCCTACCTCGAATTCGGGTGCAAGGTAAAATCCATACTAACAGACAAACCGCACGATTCCCCGTAAACCTACCACGAGGCATTTCATTATGCGTTTCGCCCCGCTTGAAACATATCATAAGGGTGTAACAGGATAGGTTATGTATCTTTTTGGTTAATAGATTTGACTGTTAACCTCGGTGCCATACGGCCACCTACCGCATTTGTGAGCATAATGGGAAATAATTGGTGTGATTTCTGGATTCTTAAAAGATGTTAAAGTTTGAAGAGAAATTTGACATCTTCGGAACAGTGAGGTGTCGTTCACAATGCACGGTTCAATAAAATCTCGCTTCAGCTGTCTGATCTACTTGGCACCGGAACGCTATTTGACATTTCCTTACATTCCTCGGGGAGACTGTACCACATGCCTGACTGTCTGAGGATATGCACATCACCTGTGTGGAGTGACAGTTCAATCTAGACTAACCTGTTGTAACAGTTCAATTTGTCGGACAAAATATTCGGAGAAACGCCTGTCCACTGTGGTGTCCGCAACGTGAATCATGTTCTCGTCAACAAAGAAGTCCAAATCTGCGTAGAGTTGTTGTGGCCCGCTCAGATCGGATGTGCCTGCACTGGAAAACGCGGCACCAGTGCTAGCACTGTTGGCTGCATCCGCACCCAAACAGCCATCGAGAAGGCCGGTGATTTGTTTCAAACGATACTTGTAGGCCATAAGGGACATGTGGACACCAAGTTCAGACTACATTGTGATAGGTTTAAAGAGAAAGAGAAGTGGGAAAAAGTTGACAAATGAGAATAAAACAATGTTCAAAATCCAACCAAAGCATCGGGCGAGTATAAAATAACCTTCGGATAAATCATGCAGTACGGAAAGCGCACACAGCACACAAGAATATGTTGTTGCGGAGTGTACTGGTTCTTTCACTGTGTCTGGCAATCTGGTATCTTGTTTCGATGAGAAAACGCTGTCTCTCATGAGTTGATGTTGTGCGTGCTGGCCTGAGCGAGCAACCCTATTGGATTGCTTGTCGACATATGTTCTAACTGCTCCGCGTCCGCACGACCTTTGAATTTGATCTCACAAGGTTCCACGCGATGACCTTCTCTGGATCAGATTCAACGAGCCTCCTGCGCACTTGTCTGTTGATTGGATAGCTTTGAGCAAAATCGCTTAGCTCAGTGAGTAAACCAACGGCAGTAGATATGAATACACCGTTTATCTAATTAAGAGCGACTTCCTTGGGACGGAAAATTTTCATCGGATTACACGAAGTCAACCTTTTCAGAGAATCCCGATCCTGAAGATTAATGTGTACTAGCTTTCAAAACCTGGCTTCCGTTCGGCGGTTATCCGCTCCCTAACAACGCATTGATGATGTCAGCTCCATTGGTGATGAAACATTTGCAATCAATTTGTCCAGCTCCGCGAACAGGCCATCTACTCTACCTGAGCCAACGACATTCGCCTCAATAGTAGAGTAGAAGAACTTGCTTCAGAACTAACTTATAGGTCCTTGCACTCTTCGTCACTTCACTGTGATTTGCTTCCATGTGCATCAAAGCTGGCAACACGAGCTTGAATAAATTCAAATGCAACGGAAAGCAGATTTCACACCAACTCTCGGTGGATTTCTTTTACAGATAACCCTCACACTGTGCGGAGACGATGGAATGTTCAATAACCAATAAGGACGAGCCTTAAATGGCCTCCTTCCGAAGAGCTGACCTTGAGATAGTTCGGTGGTTAAGGCGCCAAATTACGAACCGGAAGGTCCGTGGTTCGAACCCAACCTTAGCATCTCGACTGTTCCTGTCTAAGCCTACGCAGTATCCCAGGCCTCGTGCCTCCTCCCGTTAGGCACTGAAAAGGTGCTACAGCTGAACGATTGTCGTTGCTGTATAGTCTCACTAACAAAAGCGCTCGCTCAACTTACCGTGTTCAGGTAGCCAGCCAGCTTAGACGTAGGCATGTTTGTATAGAGCTTGAGGAACGAACGCAGTCGTAATAGCCCAATTTGACGGTTGATTTCATCTTTGAACAACTCAATCTGTTGACGCTGTGGTTCAAGTGGGGCAGCGGGTTCCAGTGCAGTTGTCGCCGAACTTGACAAACGCGCGTAACTTGGCAACTCCGGGGAAATAAACTTTGGGCAACCCAGGTCAAAGGAAGTGATGAACTCTGCCTCATCCCTGAAAAATGGAGAAACAAAACATTTGGTGATTAATCTATGTAAAAAGCGGGGAGTAAGAGCGAATGAGAGAAGACGGTCAGAGAAAATAACCGAGTTACTTAACGAATATACACTCCTTTGTAAACTAATTTGGTTTTTCGAGAGACTCACCTGGAACCCAGCTGAATCTCTCGTTTGTGATGTTTCCAGGCAACTGAATGTGCTGCACCAGGCCGCCTCATGTTTCAGTCGCTACGATATTCGAGATATCGCGATACATGTATATTTGTACTGCAAACAAATTAGTTTGCAAATGAGTGTATATTCGCTAATTTCGTGCAATTTGGTTTCAAGCAGAACATACAGTTGACGGAAACTCGGGGACTGCGTCTGCCTGATGAGCCCCAAGAAGGGTGAAACCGGTCGTGGGCTGTCGACGGATCTTCAACAACCTTATGAGTAGTGCATTACGAACCGAGTTACTTCTTTGCTTTGTACTTCATAAACAGGCTTAAGAAACGTGCTTTTTGCGTACATAGGCAATTAGATGGCTCAGCGGTTACAGCGCGAATTTACTGACCGGAAAGCCCATGTTTCGAACCCGACCTGTGCCTCTCAGCTTACCCTGTCTAGGCTTAGGCGATCTGGCAGTATTCCAGCCCTCGTGCTGCTTTATGGCATTTCAACTGAAGAGACTGATTAGGTCGGGCAGCCATCAGCAAAGCCTGTCTGACTTCAACCCAGTTATAATGGCATTCTACAGTGACTCAATCGTTTTTTATCAAGCTACTTATCTATTAACCGCCCAGCCTATCGCCTGTGCCTTGCGTAAAAGACTTCGTTAGTTTGGAAGCAGCCGGAACAACTACGTAGCTTGCAGACTGTTTTCAGCTGACTGAGTGAGTTGGGCAGACCTAGTTAGGAAAAATAACTCCAAATACTTATTTTTCGGCAACTAACCTTATGGTAGGATGACGTGGCTAGTCACTACTCTGTCCGATACCGATAACATCCAAACTACTTCCCGTGAAGTAACACCTATCGTCTTACTTTGCTGGTATCACGAAGCGAAGTGCGTCATT